TCCGGGTATGTTTCCAGACAGTGTACTACCGGTGCTCCTACTAGCTGCTGTGCATGTAAGGGAGAACAGAGCCAACAAAGCTGAAGAACTCTTACTGCAGTATGCAAACAAGTTTACTGAAAACTCTAAGGTCGTCTTCCTTGCAAGGGCTCAAGTTGCTGCAGCTGCAGGCCACGCGCAAATAGCAGCCGAGTCACTGCTAAAAATTCCAGAAAATTCAACATAAGCCGGAAAATGTTGCCACTGTTGTCTCCCTCAAAGAGCGAGCTGGGGATATAGATGGTGCTAGTTCTGTGTTTGATTCAGCGATACAATGGTGGTCTAATGCCATGACCGAAGACATCAAGAAGTTCAATGTCACCATGCAAGACGCTGCTGCATTTAAGCTCGGGCATGGAAAGAAAGATGAGGCCGCCCGTCTTTTTGAAAACCTTGTGAAAAGCCATGGAAGCATCGTGGCTTTAGTAGGGCTGATTCAGACCACTGCTCATACAAACGTTGAAAAAGCTGAATCTTACAAAAAGCAGCTCAAACCCCTGCCCGGTCTGAAAGGAATCAACATAGAGAGCCTGCCTGACAAAGACATCTGGTGCAAAGAAAATTGAGAATGTGAGCATACCTGAAATGTATGAACCAAAGAACAAGGAGAAAACAAAGAAGAAGAGAAAGAGAAAGCCCAGGTATCCAAAAGGTTTCGATTCAGCAAACTCGGGTCCTCCTCCCGATCCAGAAAGATGGCTACCAAAGCGAGAAAGATGTAGCTACAGGCCAAAGAGAAAGGATAAAAGAGCTGCTCAAATCCGGGGTTCTCAGGGAGCAGTTGTTAAAGAGTCGGCTGATAGTGGCAATACCTCAAAATTGAACCAAGCAACAAGCTCCAAGGAAATACTCAGAACACATGCACAACACAATCCAAGGGATCATCGAAATCCAGGAAGAAATCCCGGCGCTTGGAGAAATAGGTGAGGCTGTGCCATGGTATCTTTTTGTTGTTTTTCCTCCTTTGATTATGTATGAGGCGCTGTTTCTATTATTATGGATCCTTAAACATGACTGCCCCATTGATTACCTCAGGAAGCTATAGCAAAAGCCAATCCAGTGGTGAAGGTGGCGGAGAAGCTTAAAAAAATCCAGAGAAAGGCGACATTTCGAGTAAGTTTGCCTGCTGCTGCTTATTTCACATATCTTGTAATGCCTTGGCAGCTAGAAAACTATTACCTCAAGAAATATTTAGTGATTCTATTTGCCTTGATGCAGTTTGTAGTGTAGAAATTGAGAGATGTTTGTTAGTTGAAAGTGCAATGTAGTGTAGAAATTCAAGAGTTAATTCAGTGAGATGAAAATTGAAATAGTTTGGTGTCAAATTGGAACTTCCATTCCATGTTTATTAGAACTGCAGAATTGAAGTTGGAGCAAGTTTGAATTTGGCACTGTAGGAATTGCTTGTTTTTGTGTGATTTAGATTGTCTTGAAAATACAATGAGTTTGAATATTACATATTGAATAAAAGATGATTTTGTTTTGTAATAACTTTGGTTTAAATTTTCTTGGGGTTCATTAAAAATACACACTATTATAAATATCATTATAGGGAAAATAATTTGCAGTTAATGAATGGTTGATGTAGTGGAAATGACAAACTGAAACATGCATTTTTCCAGTTTCTGTGCTGTACATAAATGAATTAACACATGTTGTAATACCCTGTAAAATAATCGTCGGAAGTTTGCCGGAGTCGGACAAATTTCATTTTATGTATAATTTATTTTGGTCTTTTAGTGTAATAAATTAAAGAGTTGGATTTAAATTAAAAGTAAAAATTGAGTTTGGGCCAAAGTAGAATAAAATAATTAATAAAGGACTAAGTATGTTATGTTAAATAAAAGAATAAAAAATAAAAAAAAAGAAGAAGGAGCAGCAGCCAACACGCCCGCCAGCGCCAGCGCCAACCCCCGCTCTCCCTTGGAGTTCTTCTTCTCCAAAATTCTTCCTTTTGGTCTCTTATCTGAGGTAAGTGAGATTAATCTCAGATAGATTCATATGTTCTAATCCCTAGACCCCTTCTATTGATATCTTTTTCAATATTCTTGTCAAATGGGTTTGCCCCAAAAGTGTTAGGTTTTGCCAATTTCTTCTAAAAAGTTGATTATAATGTTTATGTGAAGATTATTATTGGATTTTTAGCGTAGAATTTATGGGATGGGTTTGAAACCCTAGTTTTGCCCTAACATAGTTATGATTTTTGGAAAAAGATTTACGATTATATTTAAATATTATGATTTTTGGAATTAGACCATGTCTATTGTGATTGAAATATTTTTCGAATGTTTATTTGGCGAAATAAAGTGAAATCATAACGAACTTGTTGGGTCTAATATCCTACTTTGCATGGTTAAATGTTGACAATTGGAATATTTTGAGTTTAAAACATTCTTTTTGAAATTTGCCTAAGAGCATGTTGAGTATTTGGTCAAATTGGTAATTGAAACTACCCGCCGAGTCCGATCAACTCGTCAATTGTTTGGATGATAAGGCATAGCCTTCCACCTCTGTGCCTTACAAACACGTGAAGGTATACCGGTATTTTAGGATAACTAGCTAACCTTGAACTAGATCCCGAATGGGCTAGGTCGAGGGATCGAGATGGCGGGTTCCCTTTTTGGGTGATTCCGAGGTGCCCGTCATTCACGATGGAAAGGTCTTTAGACCGTCATCCGTGACGGAGGGATGGATTGCGTACAATCCCCTCTTAGTATGTTATATTGGAGACTAGAGGGTTGTGGGCCGTATGGCGCCCCTCGCAAACTAATAATAAATTGATTTACGTGTACTTTGGATTTCGAACCCTTATGTACACATTGTGGAGTTTTCCTTGAGGGTTATGATCCTATGTTTGTTATGTGAAATTATGTGACGTGTCATACGAAGTAATAAGTTGGAAAACCGGGTCGAGCCGGCCCTGATTAAGGCCTACTGGAGTTTTCTTCGTGATGTGCTCATGGCTATTATTTGAGAATGAAAAGGAGGTATAAGGGAGGCGCTAAAAGACTCGTGTGTGTGAGTTCCCCTTATGTGATACGTGTCATTTTATTCGACTATCTTCTTCAAATGATTTTGTGGCATTATATCATATTAATATATCTTCGATTAATTGCGCTTACTCAACCGTGTGCTGACCCCCTTCTTACGATTCTTTTTGTAGGTGATCATGCTTCCGTTATGCCTAAGTGATACCTTCACGTCATATGATCCATCGGGGGAAATGAGAACTACCTTACCTTCTAAAATGTTTTGAAATTCATTGATTGTGTTTAAAGACTAATGCATTTTAAACTATTTCCAATTTATGTTTTTGATTTAAACTTTATTTACTTAATTGATAAGCCGGTGCGCTTTAATTCTAAGTTTCTCTTAGTTGTTGGTATTTATTATTTAAGCCTTAGCGCCACAACGTAGGACTCGTTGATTGATGAACGAGCCTTCCGGTTTGGCGTGACGGTGACGCTCCGGTTTGAGCCGGCCGGGGTGTTACACATGTTTACCTAGACATCTTGGTACAATTAAGCACACATTTATATTTAGTCGAAAATCACCACATATACTTATAAAAATTGCTAGAGGAACATATTCCAAATTTGCGTTATCATTGAACATCAGAATAGGGCTTCTCACCAAGTGACCTTCTATCAAGTTGGCTTCCTAATTGATTCCTTGCCCAAAATTTTCCATTGGACTTCAAAGTCGATTTGTGTTGCCCATTACCTTTTAGCCGATTATATCAGAAACAAACTATACAAAGAATGTGTCTGTTTGTGGGTTTTAGTTTTTGGGTTTGAATTTTTTAATAGGAGAAAGTTGAATTTGAATAGTTGTTTGATGTGATATAAATAGAGGTTGATGCGATGTTTTGAATGTAAAATTATGTATAGTATAAAAAAAGAAAAATAATTGTTTGATGTAATATTTGTTAAAGGAAAAAAAAAATCTGAATAGTAAAAACATGTGGTAAAATATAAAAAAAAAATAATCTAAATACATATATGAAATTGAAGATTGCAGCTATAGAATTATTTGATCCCATATAGTTGTTAAAGTTGAACATATGTAATAATAATATGCACCATACCAAATTGAATTGATTGTGCTCTAAGTATTTTTCTAACTTTGAATCAAAACATGGTTGATGTTGGTGTGATGTGCATATGATAGTTTAAATCCAATTATGTTGCTAGTATTTTTTAAAGAGTGTGTTTACTTTGAAACATATAATTATAATACATAAAATTGTTTTAATAGAGTATATAATTATAAGATTAATTAATATTATCACTACCAAAAAATCAACCATTTGTAGCTGATGTATTGTTCGTAACAATAGTTCAGTCACAAAAAGTATTTTTTGTTACAATTTTTGTCAGAACAAAAAAAAATTGGACTGGTCAATATTTTTTTTATTTGTTTCGATCGTTTATCCGTAACAACTACAATTGTAACAAGATTTGGTATCTATGTATTTGTTACGTATACCAAATTGTAATAAAAAGTCAATAGTAAAATAATAAATAATATTTTTTAAGAAATCTATATAAAATTCAACCAAAAAAATATAATTAAAAAATAATTTTTAATGGTTTCGATAGTTTATCCGCAACAACTACAATTATAATGACATGGGTTCCTGTATGTATTTGTCATGTATATAAAACCGTAAAAAAAAAAATCAATATTATAATTATAAATATTTAAAAAAAAAACAATCTATATAAAATTATTTTTAAAAAATAATAATTAAAAAGTTAATCAAAAATAGAAATCGTGTTAACACTTTCTTCATTTTCTCAACATATATTAACCACTTAAAAAATATATTTATAAAATATTTTAAAAATATATAATAATTTAAAAAGAAAAATGATAAAAAGCGTGTTAACACTTTCTCTTCTTTCCCAACATATATTAACACTTTCCAATTTCTGTACAATTCCATACATACACACGCTCTCATTTTCCTTTTCCCCCAAATCGCCTCCCGATCCACACACATATGAAGATCTTCTCTACACTTCACTCTGATCTACCGTCGCTGGTTTGACGCTCGTGTTCTCTGAGTTATGGCCAGCGTAAATCTTCCTCGCCGCATTATAGTTCTCACGAAATCGAACGGTGAGTTAAAACCTAGGGCATTCTATTTTGAAGCTATGAAAATTGATTTTTAGTTTCTTTAGTGTTCTAGGGTTTTGGATAATCTTCTTGTACAAATTATTTCATATTTTTACTGGGTAAATAACGAGTTTTTTTTTTTATAATTTGTCTTGGGTAAATACCCAGTATGGATGTGTTTTCTGAAATTCACTTTTTCATGGTTGAATAATACTCATTTCATCAACTTTCATTTGTAGGATTAAGTTATTGAACAACGAGGTGCTGCAGAGGTGGACTTATAACTGTTTGAAGATCGTATATTAGGTAATGTATTATGTGACTGGAGATTCTAATTTATTGTTCTTTTAAAGTTTTATCAACTCTGTTTTCATAAAATGAAGTTTACAAAACATTGCATCTGGGTGTTGTTTAAAATGATGTCTTTAGGCATGGCATATGTGTCATTACTCTCCGGTTTGTATAGGAATTACTAAAAACCTTAAGCTCGAGAGTCGATGATGGATAAGTCGTCTTTGAGTTTCTTCTGAAAGTGAAAGAAAAATAGAAGACGAGAAACAGTTTTGACACTTCCCCCTTTAACCAATTTTTTCTGCAAATTTTGTTTTACTTTCAGTCTTCCATTTACTTTTGTCCCGAGTCTGGTTGTTGTTACATTTATTGTTCTTTTTCTCTTTTCCACCTACTTCATTCAATCTCAATCTATGTGTACCAGTCTTCAATCACTTTGAAATAATGATTTTTTCTTTGGTTATGTGGATTATGTATATATATTGTTGTTGGTGATATATATATATACACACTATGTTGGTTAACAACACTAAGCCTTTATTACTCCATGGTTATTACAGTAGACTGTTTTGTTGCAAATCTTACATTTTCCTATTTCCAATTTCTAACAATGATGCTAACATTTTGGTAAGCAGATATTTTCTCTTTCTGTGGTTTGCTCTGCCCGGCTGGCCCTTTCTTGATTGGGGTTGTAGCAAATAATATTGTTATTAAGGTAATATTCTCATTATTGAGTTTCTACTTTTTATTCCCATAAGGCTTTCTTTTTCGCTTTTTTATTTCCCTGGGACAACCTTAATTATCCTGATATTGCATTTCCAGTATTCTTTTTGAATCTACTTGTTAAATGCTGGAAATATGTAAATGGAATGGAAAAAAAAGAAGTCAAACTACGGAGGTTTTCTTTTTCTTTTCCTTTTTGTGTGTTTAACGCTTTTTATTTGAAAATATAAAAATATTGTTGGGTGAGATGTTTTTGGACAAAATAAGTTAACACAAAAAAACTGTGATGTGATATTGACACAAAAGATTGAGAAATGGGCGAAAAAATCATAGATGCACAGTTGTGTTCCCTATTCTCACAGGAGAGCAACATTATTCTGCCATGACTGTGATAATTGTCTACATTATGCAGTACTTCTAAAACTGAGCATATTCAAGCTTTCATGTATTTTATATACATTTTTATGGCCGGAGATAGTATTGGGAGTTATAATCTCTTACTATCCAGTTTAGATCTTGCCAAAATATGCTATCTTTTATTTTAGATATGTTGGTGAAAATCAAACTTATGTTTTGAAATGTAATTTCTTCAAACTTTCAACGTTTTTCTCTTGATGTATAATACATTTCAGGGATTGTAGTATGGATTTTGGAATGAAGTGAATGCGATTTTACTTACACAACATTTGTTATATTGACACTTTAAGATTTTAAAGCTACGACAGTTGTATTAGTCGGTTATATTTGTTAGGTTGTTTATAGAGTATTGAATTCTTATCCGAGTTTTGAACAATCCCATCCATAAACTGAGAACCATCTTCTTATTATGTACTTTCTATTGCTAGTTTTGCATGATTTTGTATAACATATTCTCATCCATTTTCAAACCGAGTTTTTATTTTGAAAGTGATTATTGTGTTTTATGAATTCTGATTGTGTAGTTGTACACCATGAAATGGACATAAAATGGATCATGTGTAAGATTGTTATATCTAGCATCTGGTATATTGTTCTAGGGCATATCTATTTGGGTTTAACATAGTTGTATGGTCGAACGTTATTTGTAGGGCTTGATTGGTGGTTAATTTGTTTCTATTGGAGAGCTATGTTCGTTTCTTTTACTGAAGGATTGCCGATCTATGATCGTGGTGATTTATAAATATTAGTATATGTGTAAGGGGAGTTGGCCCCTATGGTCCATGTTGTGTTATTTATTTTCATAATGTTCAGGGGTCAGCCTATTTTATTAGTGCTTTTTGAGTTTATTTGTTACTATACTTGTATTTAAGATAGGGTCCTTAGATCAAAGCTAAAACGTAAGTTTTATTTTATTATATTCATCCATAACGTTTACAGAGGGAGACATTCCTCGTAACTAGCACTCGTTTAACCTATTTATATAGGTGATACCCTAGCCATTGTTAAGGTGTATGCTATAGCTGTAATGGTCCCGGAGACCGCACTTATCCTCCCAACTAATGCTGGAGCGAAAATTCTCGGTGATGTACTCGACGGAGATAATATCGAGTGGATTTACCAGGATGTACGCAATTTTTTATTTACTTTAATCTTTTGGAAATTAAATTACTTCAATTTCTGTATTAAATGCTTATATATTATTAAAAACACATTGCAGTTGGTTCGCCGCCCGTGATTGCAGCCTCCATGAGTCTGCACTCGACTAGCTGGGTCATTCATAGTAGTGTTTATGAGTTGCCCTTAAGATCGTACTTCTGTATGATATCAGATTTATCTATTTATGTTTACTTTTTGGTTTTTCGTATCGTTATTTAGTAGGTTGTTATGTTGGTGTACGAATTGGTGTTTTGTTGGGATGTTTTGTTAGCACCGTTGACGACTAATATTTTATTTTTGGCTGGACTATGAACATCATTGTATTGATGACCATGTGTAGTATTTTGATGGATTTGGAAATAATTATGATAAGATTAAGTTTTAAATTATTTGTCTCGCAGATTAATAATATAGACAAATGGAATTTATTTATGGCAACAAAACTACTATGCCATACAGGGACGTTTTTTGTAGCGTATTTTTAGTTACGGACAGTGGTCGGTACAAATGGTAATGTATGGTTGCCTGACTTTTGTCATGACTTTTTGTTGCGGAGTAACTTCGTAACAAACAACTTATTTGTTAGGGGGCAGTCCTTTTGTAATGTATTGTTGTTACGGACAAATCTTGTAACAAGAAATTTTCTGACAAGATTAGACATTTGTAACGCATTTTTTGATTTGGACATATGTCGTTACAAATATTTTTCTGACAATATTCAACTTTTGTTCCGCATTATTTGTGTCGGATATTTGTTGATTCAAAAACATGATTGATGTTTTTGTTACATACCAAAAAACGTAAAAAATGTAATTAACACGTGCTTATTTTGAGAGTTAACCACCAAATATTTGTTACGGATTTTGTTGCAGCACAAACTTTTTGTAGCGCGATTTTTCGTAGCGGTCATAATCCGTAACAAAGTTGACATAAAAAGCTTTTTTGCACGAAAAATGGGTTTTAGTTATGAATATTTGACCGTTATAAAATGACATTTTTTTGGTAATGCATGTTTATTTTACTTGATGAGATAATAACAACTTTTAGTATAAATATTATTTTAGATAAATTAATTCATCCATTTAAGTATGATTAATTATCTTTAATTAGGGTCTGTTTAGTATGTAAAATAGGATTATAATACATAGTATTATTTTAATGAATTATATAATCATACAATAAAATAATACGATATTTACTTTAGGGTCTGTTTGGTTCAAATGAGGGGAGAGTCTGTGTTTGCATTTTTTTTTTAAGAAGAGAGGGAAAGGAAAATAAAATGATTTTAATAAAATTTGATTAATTTATTCATAAAGTATGACACAAAATTTATTTGTCTAATATAATAAAACAAAAATTACATTACAAAGTATCATAATAGATATTTATTAAAACCAATACAGATAAACCATAATTTTTACTTATAAATAGTTACAAGATAACAAAAAACCATATAAATTAAGTATATAATAAACACAAGGCTTATCTTGTGGTGTCGAATTCAAATCTACTTATATAAGTTAAATTAATTATTAAACTAAATCAAATCATTTGAATTGAATTAATGAAAATACATACTTAATTATAAAATAAGTTCGATTAAAATTATTTAAAAGTGTTTAAAAAATATATATTTGAATTAAATTATTATGATTTTTTTTAGATAACGTAAGTATTTATTAAAATCAAAATACAGGAAAATAATAATTTTATATACAAATATAAAAACAAATTTATATAAACTAAATAAATTATAAAAATTAATCTAATAATTTATGTTAATTTTTTAAAATATATTTATTTGATAAACTCAATTATTAAAATTAAATACAATTATTTAAAAATAAATTAATTTAAAAATTTCTTTTTTCTAAAAAAAAATATATAATTTTATATATTATTTTTTGAAAATATTATAACTAAATTTATTGTAAATTTTAATTTAAAATATTTTAAAATATATAATGTCATTTAGATATTTGCAAAATAAACATTAATATTTATTCGATAATTAAAAATAAAAGAAATAAATATTAACATTTAAAAATATTAAAAAAAATTAATAACATGTTAAAAGGGTATAATAGGAATTTTATTTTTTTTAAAAAAAATGTTTTTGATAAAATCCCTCCTTTCAAAATTCCCCCAAATTGGAGAAAGAATAAAAATCTAAAGAAATTAACTACCCTCCCTCCCCTCTCTTTTCCTCTAAAGTAACATTAAACACACCAAACAGTTTTAAATAGAGGTGAGTAAAATATTTGAAATTTAAAAATTCGATTCGAATCAAAACAAAATTTAAAACTTGGTTCGGATTAAGTATTTTATAAATTTTGAATTTTCTGAACAATTTGGATCGGTATACGAAAAATCCTAATCAAGCTGAAATATAATATACTAATATATTTCATTATATGTATATATATTTAATATTATAATGAAATTATAAAAAGTAAAATAAAATATAGGATTTTAAAAAATAATAAAAAATTTAGTCTTTTTTCTTTTGGGATTATTTCAATTTTTTCATTAAGTTCACATTTCTTAATTCGAATTTTGGATTCCGATTATTTCAATCGGGTTTGAATTGATATTTTAAAACAAATTCCAACAAAAAATCAGAATGTCAGCCCTATGTTAAATACGCGTGTGATTGGAGTCAATCAGGTTTGGCCGTTGAAAGCGCTTTGGTCACACTTTGCTCTTGCAGCCTCTCTGGGGGCATTTCTTGTTGGTTAGTCAATTATTAATTTCACCAATAGTTGAAAATTAAATTTATTTAATTAATGGCGAACATAAATGAAATGGATAAAAGAATAATACTTATTTGATGAGGTTATTAATTAATCAAATGAGCTTCTGTTTAATTAACTAATGAAATTAAATAATTGAAATTGTGGGTGCATCCCCCATTGGATTGTAAATTCTTTATTTTATTTTTTAAACATTATTTTTTTATTGACTATCTTTTTCTACAATGAAAATTAATTTAGTCTCAGCAAATTGCAACAAGTGAAACTAATTAATGTTACAAGTTGATGCTATATAGTGACATCATCAGTTTGTTCTTAACATCCGATTAGGAGAGGTGACCTAAATTTAATTTTATTAATCATCTAAACCTATCAAACCCTAATTTAAGAACCCAATTTTTGTAAGGCAAGCAAATAAAAAGTGGACACAAAAGATACATAAAAATTCTAGATCAAATAAAATCACCACTATGAAAGGATAGGATTTGAATGATTTGTGTTTGGATTTTTTTATATATTTTATTAATTTCAATTTAAGTTCAATAATATTTTTATATGATATTTTATATAAAAAAAAAATTATATTTTTATTTAAAATTGTACAAACTAAATAATGAAAAAAATGATTTGAAACAAACCCAATAATTTCACTAAAATAAATAAAAGATGATTTATAGAGGTCAAGCCATATCTCTCCCTTTAGAATAATAAAGATTTATATATTTAATTGTGTTTTTGTTTCTTTTGCCTTTTCATATTTCTTGCATCATTTCCTTTTAATATATATTTATTATATTTAGAGTTTTTTTTTTTTTCTTATCAAAAATATTATATTCATATTTTTATCATAAAAAATAATCAAAACACCACTCATATGCCAAAACAATAAAACATTTTGGATTTATTCTTTTAGTTTTTTTTTATTAGTTTTTGATAATTTTAAAAATATTTTAGGAAGTCCTAATTTTGGTTGGGTGAAGTATTTATTTTTAAAAAAATATATTTTATTAGAAAATAATAGTAGTATATTTTTATTAGTAAGAAAGTATTGATAATTTAATTATTTTCTATTAAAAATAGTGTAAACATTAAAAGAAAAAACTTTTTCAAATTCAAATCAATACTATTCTTTCCATATAGTTTTCAATAAGCTAATACCCCCTCCGACCCATAACTATATATCAATTTGCTTTTTGTACGGAGTTTTAGAAATATTAGTATTATATTGAGGTGTGGTAGGAATAAAGTATAAATAACAAAAATAACCTTATTAGTATTATGTGATATAAAAGTAATGACATTTGTGTAATATATTATAAGATGTAAGGGTATTTGTAATGTTAGGTATACAGTACAGTTACTAAAAAAAAAATGAATACTTTGTTATGGGACATACTAAAATGGAAAAATAAATAGTTTGTTATGGGACGGAGGAAATATTATTTTCTCTCATAAAATATCACATCGAAATACTATTTGAATAAAAACATAAATAACACCTTATCTCAAATCAACTTCAAACCACGAACAAACAAACTTGTTCCAAAAAGTAAAACATGAACTGAGGGTGTATTTGTTTGTAGGTTTGAAAGTTGAGTTTAAATAGCAAAATTTTGAATTAGAATAATTATTTGATATAATATAAATAAATATTCATGTAATATTTTACATATAAAATTGATTCTTAGTATTTTATATTTTTAAAAGTAAAAATTAGTGAATAATAAAACTTAAAAACCAAAAAAGCAAACAAGATATTGGTTTGGATTTGATTTTAAACATTTGTTCGAAAAAATCTATAGAGTTAATTTATACTATTTTTATAAAATAAAGATAAAGTTTCAATTTGTTCACTTTGACTTTTTTTTTTTTTAATCAGTGTTACTCCTACAAAAATATATTAGTTTTCATATAAAATAACATATACATAATAAGTTATTCACTGAGAAAAAAGTGAAATTGAGCATAACTTATATGAGTTCGAAAACTCGGCATAACTTTGCCTTGGGAGAGGGGTGGGGGGGGGGGGGGGTTGATACAATATTATGAAGAATATGAGAGCGTTTCAAGCAATTTTTAAACCAAATGAAGAATTATGCGGAATTTTAAACCGCACGTGGATTATGGACAATTTTGTCCTGAGAAAAAAAAATCAAAATAGAAATATATATATATATAATATAGAATTATGAATTTTCATAGTTAATGTTAGAATACAAAACTCTATTTTCTATTTTGGCATGTAATACAAAAGTCATTCTCACTGTCAGGATGTTTGTGCAACATGAAGTAGAAATTTATGTGCAGTTCCTCCTTTTACAGGTTGTCTGAGAACTTCTTTTGTATAAGACAAAACACATCCTTGGTGGACTGACAAGTTTAATTCCAATGGTCAAATATTTGGCTGCATGTTAGAGGGGAAGAATCACAATTGCAGTAGTAGTATTGATGGTCTTGATTCTCTTCCCCAAAGTTGGATGAAAACCAACCTCCACTCAAAGTTAGTTTTTGTAGAAGATTGATATTATTTTGTAGTGAGTGAAAAGTCTGTGTTCCATCTCAATGTGACTCTTCCTTGTACTCCATG